CTATTTCCTTTGGCTCGAATCTGCCTCCAAAAACCGGATTCTAGGAGAAATACAGGCAGAAATACGGTCGTAATTCTTCCATGCCCATATTTTGCCCAAAACACGCGTTTTGGTTAAGTTTCAGCGCATCCATGGCTCCTCTTGGGATTGAAAATATGGGCATGGGAGGGGAAAATACGGTTGTACTTCCCCTGCCCGTATTTCTTCCTCCGCTCCTGTTTAATGCTCCGTTTCTCCCTCGTTCGGACTCCAAATAAGTCGCCGTTTGATCCCAGACGCTCGTAGTCTTGTTCTCTTTCTTTTCATCACAAGCTTCCATGATTATTTTTATATAATATGAGTTAGAAGTCCATTCTTCCTCAGGTCATGCTCGTGTTTCTTCTCCCGAATTGCCAAATGATTTCCGATTGACTTGAAACTTGCGCCTATGCTTCAATTTACATGATAGGACCTGAAATGTGACAAAGGAACACAACCTAGCATAAAATAGTCCAAGAAAGAAAAAAATCAAGCCAAAATGATCAAGAAACGAGGGTGCAAACATGTGCAAATACGATGTTATCAAATTCCCCCACACTTAACCGATTGCGTGTCCCCAAGCAAACCTGACTCAAACCAATGCAGCTCTCCAGACCTTTATAGAAACATGAAACGAAGATCGTCGGTAAAGGACGTTCTAAGTCATTTAGCAGCTTGCGAGGTCAACCGACGCACAAGATACCTCCTAACTTCTTCGGCGAGAATGCTAGTCTCGAGTCGGTATCATGGCAAATAGTGATCAGAGGACAAATGAATCGTGGACGAAGGGACTCTCAAAAACAAAAGATCATGGACTCACATTTTTAAGGTGCTCTATTTTCTTCTTGAAGATGGTTGGGACCTTTTTTTGCTTTTTTTCTCTTTTTTTCAAGGGTTCCAATCTGTTTTTTCAGAAAACGAGGCTCCCACCTAGCAAAGATTTTGAGGGAGCCCGACTCTTACCGACCATGTCGGGATCAGCTCTTACTGGCCATGCCAGGAGCGGATGTCTCGAGCCTCGTGCGGGGGAAAGAAATGTAAGGGGGCTGGAGGTAGTAGGTGGAAATTGGTAACAGATTCCCGTCTCCCCTTACACACTTTTGCCCTTTTCGCACATGAGACGTTATTTTAAAGCACATTTTCGAGCACCTTTTACTTCAAAACATAATACAGGAGTCCATGACAGGTAGAGAGTCAACAATACCACACAATTCAAGGGTCCTAAGATCACTAATTCACACAATCAACCAACATAATATGAAGAAGAAAGGAGACTTCTTAAATGCATCAACATCCTCCATAGTGCTACACTACCTCCCTAGGTTGCATATTACTATTAAGACTGTCAATTCAAAGTATACTGAGCAGGCAATTGCAAGGAACACGTGCTTAGAGCCCTCAAATCAAAATTTGGACAATGGACTAGGCTCCAAGCACACACATACAACTAAACATTCACACGCATACATAATCGAACATCCCCCCACACTTAAGCACGACATTGTCCTCAATGGAGGAAAGATAAGGAGGGTAGAACGAAGTTACCAGATCAAGGGTGAATGATGGTGCGCGGGGCAGGCGGTGCATTCTAGGATGAGAGATTAGCCAGAACACAAACACCGCACAAATCTCGCATTCTAGGAGGAGAGAGTAGCCAGAACACAAACACCACACAAATCTCACAAAGGTTGAGTTATTGACTCTAAAATCAAAGAACAAATAGGGAAAGAAATGCAAACCGACTAGTTGGGTTGCCTCCCACCAAGCACTTCTTTCTCGTCGTGAGCCGGACGGTAGCTCCTAAGTTTCAGTCCATGCTAGAACCTCTTTGAAGTTGAGGTTCTCATCTATGAGGTGGAGTCTCAAGTCACGAGCATGTGGTTTGGCAGGTGATGAAGGCTCGTGCACATGATGCAGCTGAAGTCTCCACCCTCGAGACCTCTTCTTCGTTTCTTCTCTTGTCTCATTGCCCCAAACCAAATATAACTGTATCGACTGACCACCATCGCGTCCACCAAGAGGGAGCGATGTCGATGTGGCCTTCGTCTGGCAAAGAGACACTGCAAATGGGTCCTTGCCAATTAGCTCCTTGAAGTTTGGTGGAGATATCACTTGTAACTCATGGCCGTTGCAAGCCTCTTCCACCTCAACTTCATCCTCGGCCTGGACACCACTCGCTTCTTCAACCGCCCTTCCTTCTTCAAAATATGGTCTCTCTCCTTGGAAAAGATCAAGAACTACCTCTTCTTTGCTTTCTTCCTCATCCTACACAACTTCTTTCCTCACCCATTCTCTCTATTCTTCTTCCATAACGAATTGGAGAGCAAGTCGCCATGCAAGGTTCTCAATAAGTTCAGCTTGCATCTCCTCGCTCGGGCCCAGCATGTCAGAGGGGAAATGGGGAATGTTGTGATCTACCACTAGAGGATACACTTGATCATGATTATCATGGGAGCTTTCCATGACAACTTCTGTATGCTCCTCAACATCCTCATGATTGCCTTCTTCTTCCTCCTCCTCTACTTGTATGGCAGCATAAAGGTTGTCTTGAGAAAACTGTGAACAAGCTTTCTCAATGACCTCTATATGCTTCTTTATGCTCCGAAGGATATCCTCTGTTTCACGGGGAAAGGAGAAGTCAGTTTGGGCAATGGCCTGGATATGAGGATTCATCTCGGGAAAGTATCTCTCAGGTACTCGAGCAATCTGCTCCACGAGAAGCCTCAAGTGATAGTTTGGATATAGTTGTGGAGTGTAGCATGACTCTGCCAGATGGCCCATGAAGGCTGTGGCTAACTCAAGATCTGATGGCTCTTCTAGTTGTGGGAGGAATTATTCTTGATAAGGAGATTGTTCTTGAAATACCCAGGGGTCTGATTGTTCTTCGTAGTAGGGGGGTTGGTACTGAAACCCGACTCCATAGTATTCTCCTCCTTGGTTGCTCCAGGAAGTCTCTAGGTAATACCACTCAGATGGTGGTGGATACCCCCACTAGTTGGAGAGGCCATTAGGATCCATGAATCAGATATGCACCAACAAAAACAAAAACACCCAAGTGAAAAGCAAGGGTGAAAAAACGCTGAAGTAACAAACTTCTGCCTTTCTTAATAATCTAGAAAGTCCCTGGCAACGACGCCAAAAACTTGACACACTACGACACAACTCCTAACAATGTCCAAGTGTAACCAATGAAAGGGACTGCAGTATAGTGGCACAAGTAATAAATATCGAATCCACGGGTCTCTAGAGTTACTATTACACAGCTTCAGTTCATTATCTAGCAAACCAGATTAATGATCGATTTACTACACTACTCTATTAACTAAGCTAAGGCTAAACTACTAATTACAAGTTGGAAACTCACTTAGGTATGATTCCCCCTAGCTCCTCAATTAGGTCCAAATTGTAATTACCTTTGGTTGATCTATTGTTGATTAAACTGTGGAAGATCCTAAATTAGCTTGGAATCTCTTAAGCTGACCAAGCCCTCTTAGACAGAATACCCGGCAGGCGACTAGCCTTCACCGGGATAGACTGCTAAGGCGATTCACACAAATCTCCACTACTGGAATGAATTCTAGTACAAAGCAGTGAATTGAATGACTCTCGCACAACCGATTCACTACTATCAATCAAGGAAGCTCTCTTAACCTCATCAGATTCTATCTATCAAAGGTTAAAGCAGAAATCAAGAGAATTTGATCACGATTCAATTGACTCAATAAATCATGCCTCAATCGATTATAATCACACAATATAGCATCAAAAACTTCATACAAGAAAGATCCTAACACATGGAACTAGGGTTCCTCAAAACTTAAGTGAAAGGAAGTTACTACATAGAAAAGAGAGAGACTACAGAAATCTGATTTAGATCTTCAATCTCCATCTCCAAGCTTATTTCCCGAGCTTCAATGGCGAAGAAATCCTCCAAAATAGCACTAAAAATGTTCCCGAGTCGCCCTCTCTCTCTAGGGTTCGTCTCTTGGGTGTTTTGGGAACCAAAACCCAGCTCTCTCTTTCCTTCGGCTCGAATCTACCTCCAAAAACCCGATTCTGGGCGAAATACGGGCAGCAATACGGTCGTAATTCTTCCATGCCCGTATTTATCCCAAAACACGCGTTTTGGTTAAGTTTCAGCGCATCCAAGGCTCCTTTCGGCATTGAAAATACGGGCATGGGAGGGGAAAATACTGTCGTAATTCCCCTGCCCGTATTTCTTCCTCTGCTCCTCATTCGGACTCCAAATCAGTCTCCGTTTGATCCTGGACGCTCGTAGTCTTGTGCTATTTCTTTTCATGACAAGCTTCCATGATTATTTGTCCATAATATGAGTTAGAAGTCCATTCTTCCTCAGGTCATGCTCGTGTTTCTTCTCCCGAATTGCCAAAAGATCTCCGATTGAATTGAAACTTGTGCCTATGCTTCAATTTACATGCTAGGACCTGAAATGTTGCAAAAGAACACAACCTAGCGTAAAATAGTCCAAGAAAGCAAAAACTCAAGCCAAAATGATCAAGAAACGAGGGTACAAACATGTGCAAATACGATGTTATCAATCACCCAAGAATTTCTCATTGTTTGTTTGCGGATGACACTATCATTTTCGGAAAAGCAAGTTTTATGGGAGAGGATAGGATTCTGGATATCATTAAAATGTATGGTAATACCACGGGGCAGGAAATCAATGCGTCTAAGTCTGCAATCTTTTTTATCAAGAACACTCCTCAAGCTATCCGTCTTCTGGTGAGCAGTAAGTTTGGGTTTCCGCCAACTATTTGTCACGACAAATACTTGGGCTTCAAACTGAGTGGGGAAGATCAAAAAAAGAAACTTTCAGGTTCTTGCTAGAGCAAATGGAAAAGAAAGGTGAATCCTGGAAGAGCCTTTTATTGTCTCCCGGAGGGAAAGAAGTACTGCTGAAGGAAGTTATCCAAGCTTTACCAACCTATATCATGAGTGTTTTTTTGCTGCCTTTGAACCTAATGAACAAAATGGACTCGATCCTGAAACGGTTTTTCTGGTCGGGTTCCATGAGGAGAAAGTCCATCCATTGGTGCAATGCGAGGGAGTTGGAAAAATCTAAAGAAGAATGGGGATTGGGATTCAAGAACTTCCATCTCTTCAACCTTGCGCTTATTGGAAAACAGGTTTGGAGACTGTTTGATAACCCCGATGCCTTGTGGGCTAAGCTCCTGTAGGGGCTTTACTTTCCAAATGATGAGTTGATCTCGGCAACGAAGGGGCGAAAGAGCTCCTGGGTTTGGAATGGGTTGTGTGAGGCGAAGGAACATGTGAAGAGTGGTTTGTTAAGAGGGATTATGTCTGGGGAGGATTCTTGATTCCATTGTGACCCTTGGCTTCCGTCCATTCCATGTTACAACCTTTCTAACTTGGGGTTGGAGCCATCCAAAGTTAGTGATTGGATTGACCGTGATTCTCGATGCTGGAAAATGGATGCTATTCGAAATCTGGTGCCTGATGAGATTGCTCAAGCTATTGCGCGAGTTCCGCTCAGTCCCTGTTCTGCTAAGGACAACTGGATTTGGTGACTTACGGAGTCAGGTTGTTACAGTGTTAAGTCTGCCTATCGGATGTTTCGAGAGAATAGAGATTCCAATCCGGTCATTGATTTAACTGCCTCTTCTCGACCAAACAGAGACGATTGGAAGTGGTTGTGGGATCTCAAGCTGTAACACCTTAGGTGAATCCCACATCGACAAAGCACGGGAGAGATCTATGGTTCATTAGTAGGAAACCGACCTTAACTAACAAGACGTGTTTTGGGGTGAAACGGAGGAGTTCTTGTGAGAACTCCGAAGTTAAACGTGCTCAGTGTGGAGTACAACAAGGATGGGTAACCTTATGGGAAGTCACTTTGAATTGCACCCCCAAAGCAAATCTGTGCGGGTGTAGAGGCCCAAAGCGGACAATATCTTGTCGGGAAAAGGTTCGGGATGTTACAAGTGGTATCAGAGCCTCTCCGCGTCCCTCTTGAACGATGGTGGGGCAAACCTCAACGAGGGCGTTGAGTCCCAAGGGGGGGTGTTTGTAACACCTTAGGCAAATCCCACATTGACAAAGCACGGGAGAGATCTATGGTTCATTAGTAGGAAACCGACCTTAACTGACAAGACGCGTTTTGGGGTGAAACGGAGGAGTTCTTGTGAGAACTCCGAAGTTAAACGTGCTCAGTGTGGAGTACAACAAGGATGGGTGACCTTATGGGAAGTCACCTTGAATTGCACCCAAAGCAAATCCGTGCGGGTGTAGAGGCCCAAAGCCGACAATATCTTGTCGGGAAAAGGTTCGTGATGTAACATAAGCTGCCTCCCAAGCTTCGATTTTTCATTTGGAAAAGTAGTAAAAATGCAATTGCAACACGAGTGAGGTTGTTTGAACGCAAATGTGCTCCTAACCCGCTATGCCTACTCTGTGAGGACCAAGAGGAAACGATTATGCATTGCTTCTTCCGCTGCCCAAAGGCGCTTGAGACTTGGTCTCGGCTTGGATTGTTGAATGTGCTCCCTTTGGATGACTCTTGCTTTGTGGATTGTTTCTTTGCGCTAAAAGACGAGGTATTCGTTGACCAGATCACCAAGATAGTGTGTTCCCTTTGGAATATCTGGATTGCTCGGACTGGGTGAGTGTTCGAGGGTCGGGCGTTCTCTTCGTCCTCTGTGGCAATATTATCTTAACGTGATGTTATGAATGTTCAAGAAGTTAGGATTGGATCCTCAGCTCAATCCTCCTCAAGTCCAACTGGTTTGCCTTCTCAGCCAAGGAGTTCTTGGTCGTCGACCTTATCACCGCCTGGTCCTTTCAGTAAGGTTGTGCATTGTGATAGTTCCTTTGTTTCTGATGCACAGATGGCGGCTTATGGGATTGCTATTGCAAACTCCCACGGTCAGGCTATCGACGGGAAGGCTGGGAGATTCTTTTGTTATTCTCCGTTACAAGCGGAAGCATTTGCGATTCTTAATGCAGTTATCTGGGCGGCCCAGGATCCTGTCCCAACGTGTGTCTGTTCAGATTGTCAGAGATTGACGAATGCGTTGAGACAGGATCCGAGCCTCTGGCCCAAGCAGTGCTAGGAACTCTCGTCTTGATCTCCTTCCTCCATAATGGATAGTCATTGCCGACCTTGTCGCTCCATTATTGTAATAGTTGTGCTTCCCATTGTTTGGGTTTGGAATGAAATGAATGATGTTTGTTGTAAAAAAAAAAATTGTTTAATAGGCACTTTGGACAGGTGTCTTCTCCACAATCCTTTGTAGTAAAAAAACCTTCCATTTATTAAGTAGTACAACCAGCTTTTTTGCCCTTGCGAAAATAGCTATTATTAACTTTCTTTTCTTTGTTAATAAGGTTTTATCCACTCATTTTTTAATTTAGTTGAAATAAAATTATTCAAAAATTAGTTCAAATGAGGCACTTCTATAACTTTTACGTAATATCTTAATTATTACGGAATGTTTATGTAACACGTTTATTTAATTGATATATAATAAATAACCCGGTGAGGAATGAAAAGTACCGATATAGATTTCTAAAGTTTAAAAAATATGTTGAAATTGAGCGTCTGAGATGGAAAATAAAAAAAATAAATAAACAACTAACTGTGGAAATAAGTATTTATGTTAAAATTAGGTGTAGAGTGTAAAAAAATCCCCTAAACAACTGATGGTGAAAAATAGAGGTTGCGATAAAATTGGTTGTAGAATATAAATAAATATGATGAACAATACTCGTTACAAAACAGGGACACAAATTTAATAATATCCCTATTTTTTAGTAGGGAGTAGTGATGTGAACTTGTGCATTTATATACAGAGATAATTGTGTAAAGGTAAATAATTTTATGGTGAACTGTGCGTAGGAGATGGAAAAAACATCACATAAACAATTGACATTGGAGGAAGAAAAGTTTATGGTGAAATTGGTTGTAGAGTACAGAAAATCGATGAAGAATGAGAAGTGCCAATGTAGCTTTCTAAGAGTAAAAAGCATTACGGTAAAATTGGGTGTAAATAAACACGAGTTTATCAGGTCAGCAATCATGAGTAATTCGTTCATAACAGCATGATATTAGTATCTTTCTCTCTTATAGGAAACCTATTATCTCTCTTTTAATCTTTGACGGGCGTTTTTCTCTCATTTTAAGTCAGCATTTAAATTTTTTTACATAGATAAATTAGATTAATTGTGCTCTTTAAAATGATATCCAATTTGATATATTTTTAGAACAATAAAAAATTTGAGGCATTTTTTACCAGTCAATACCATATGGTATTAAATAGGAGCATACCATATGGTAAGAAAACGTACCATGATGGTATGAACATACAAAGACTGTAGGAAGGTTGAATGCATGATAGTATGAGTATATTAACTGTCATTTACGACTTTCATTATTGTTTACCACAAGTTACCACGCCTATACAAGAGTCGTAAAGTATGGTAATGTTTGGTCTTGTATTTTTTCACCCAGAAATTTGTAGATCCAATAGATCATAATGAACTCGTTCCTTCTGAGAAAATATTTTCAAAAATGACTTAAAAACGAAGAAGTTACCATATGGTATGGAGTTGGTAACGAGGGGTATGAAACAAATTCTCAAAAAATCTTGAAAATTGATCTCGTTTTGTAGAGCACAACGAACTTGTTCCATCTGTGCAAAAAAATTGACATATGAGTCAGAACGTTCGTTGTGCAAAAAAAAAAAATTTGAAATCCGAGTCAGACAAAGAAGATAAGAGTCGATTAAGAAAACTAGGAAAAATAAAATGACTTTAATTCATAACTTTTATATCTGAATTTTGTAGATCCACTTAGATTTAAAGCTTCATATTTAGTTACTCAATCAGTAACTATTGATTAGTAACCGTATCTTAAGCCTAAAGAAACAAATAAACAACCGATTGTGGGAAAAAAGTGTTTTCCAACCCAGACCTTCTCCATTGCTTCAACGACCTACTTGGTCGCTCCGACTCGAGCTACTGATTTGTACGGTCATTTTGATGCTAAGGCGATGTTGGTGGTTCGATTGCCTTCCCCACTCCTAGGCGCACTCGTGGATTTTGGTGTGTGCTATGGCTGGAATTTACATCTCCAGTAGTCAGGCAACGATCAGTAAGTTGTGGAAGGCAGTAGGGTTCCGATTGGAGGTAGCTTTTTTTTTCCTAGTCGAGTCAAATAGAAGGGTTGGGGTTGGGGTGGTCTATCTGTTGTGGCAAGTCAGGTTTTTAATTTTTTATAGGTTGAAATTGGTTGATTAGTTATTTTTGTTAGCCACATCAGCAAAATAAATCACGTTGTTAATGGAGACTGTTGAACTAATTTCAGTGACCACGAATGGAATAGAATATTTTTAGTGACAAACATTAAAATTTTTAGTTATCCCAGTGACCGAACTTGTAATTTACCCAAAAGAAATGAACAATTGCATCTCATGAACATCTATTCAAGGTGTATTTGTAGTACTACACTATCAAATTGTATAATTATAGTTATGCATTATCTTTAATCTTTTATGAAGGATATTAACACAATCTGTTATACACTTCGCATTACCATATAAAATTAATTTAATAACAAAAGACCAAAAAAGGAAACAGCAACAACTGTAATGTTTCTCATTAAAAATGTAGAGGTTCGAATTTTCTCATTGTGCAATGCAACTTTGTTCTCTCATAGACATTATAATAAACGAGGTTTCATAAAATAGACATTATAACAAACAAATACATAACTTAGCTAGATAAGCGTGAAGTATTGATGTATTTTTATTTAAAAATAAAATGTTAATATTTAAAATTGATTGAAGATGAGAGATTGTGCAAATCCAACTAATTTAGCCTTGTTGAATGAGTTTGTTGAATGATGGTGGCTTGAGCAAAGTTTAAGTACAGACCAACACATGCAATTCCAACTGACCGAGTGAAAAGAGTCGCGAGGGGATTGAGGGAAGGAGCGACACCCGGCCAGAAGAGGGAAAATCCCCAACTGGGATCGAGAGGGGCAACTGGGGATTGTAGGCAGTAGGGCCCCGGTCGGTTGAGGGTAAACCTCCCGATCGGCGATCTGAAGAGGGTCCGACCGGGGATCGGGCTGGCTGATGCAATCTCCTTTTCATGGTTTGTTTTTTGTTATTTTATTTTCGATGGACTATATAAAGAGCTTAAGACACGAATTTTGAGTTAGTTTTTTTGTAAAATATTGATTTTTTATCTTGGTTTATTGAGTTTTAACCTTGTGAATTGTTCTCTGTATAAATCAAGTTTTTTCCTTGATTGTGGTCGAGATTATATCTTTTATAATATAGCGAGCAGCATAAGGTACTACTAGCCACATGTGAATTCACAAATTATCCAACTAAATGGTGAGAGCAGGTACAACTCAAGAGGAGAAGGAATTTGCAGCCGAATGTGACAACTTGGGCTTAATTGAGAGGGCTCATGAAAGAGAGGTTCATGCCAGTGTACTATCAAAGGGAACTCTTTGATTCCTTGCATGGAGTTCGACAAGGAGCACGATCTGTCGAGGAGTATTATCAGGAGCTTGAACTGCTTTTGATGAGGGCAGATGTGAGGGAAGATAAGGAAGCTACAACTTTTCGCTTCATACATGGCCTCAATATAGAGATTAGGTACGAAGTTGAGCTTCGTTCATTTGTGAAGCTCGAGGAAATGGTTCACCTAGCTATTAAGGTGGAGAAGCAGTTGAGGGTCAACTCAAGAAGAAGGTATCCACCTTCACCCAAACCTATTGCAGAGAGCAATATTCCTGAGACTAATATGACTCACCCTAGACAAGAATGTGCAAGTCAGCTGCTAGGAACACGGTTACAAGGAAAACCAGTGCCCCAACAAGAAGGTTCTGATCTTGCGAGATGGCGATTACTTTTCCGATGAAGAGGAAGCAGAAGAGAATCCAATGGGGAATTGAATCAATTATGATGATGATGATGATGTTGTTGATGAGCACATCATTACTATTGAAATTCCTCCAACTGGTAAGTTTCTTAGAGTCAACCATCGAGTGCTCTCCCTTGATTGTGGTCGAGATTCTATCTTTTAATTGCTAGAGTCTTCTCATATGTTTGTGATGACATTGCACTTTCAATTCCATCATATTCCAAAACGAAAACCCTAAAAATCCTTGTTCTTTTTCGTTCTTGAAGCTACGCGACTTTGACAAATATGGGTGTCGATACATGCTCGTATCATCAACAATTAAGTAGAAGAAAATGTTGTCAAAAATGAAATTTTGATGAATTTACGAACATTATTGACCTAAACAGAGTAAAAAGGACAAATGTCTATAAAGATAGTGGTGAAAAAAATAATTGTTGTGAAGAGTGTCCGGAGCAGTTCAGGCGAATGACTCTCGCGATTTCTAAAGTCGACGGATTTTCCTCTTACTATAAATTTCCTTGTTGTCAATACTGAAGTTTATGCATAATGCATAACCACTCTTGCATTAATCTTCAACATTTTATATCTTATTCGTTTTAACTATAGTTTTCATATAAATTGAAATAATTATGGTAAAAAATGACATTCACTTTGATATATTTTGGAACAAATAATACGGTAGTGGAGATGTCATATACAATGGTGGTATATATTACCGAATTTTTTTCATATAAATTGAATCAATATGACATAGAAAATTGAGCATCTAAGATTCCAAGTTCTACTAATCTCACCCTTCTTCCATTCTACTCTCTCACTTGTCTATCTCGTTCCGATCGATACCTCTCGTTAACCCTCTAAACCTCCCTTCTGTGAATGAGTCCCGACTCAACTCCCTGAATCGATGGCTGGGGGAGCTTGAACAACGCGGTCACCTTAAACATCTCAAGCATATCAATTGCCATTCACTTTAACCCCCCAAAAAATAGACCTAATTGAAATAGAAGATCAAATATGCATATACTAACATCGGGGACCTGAACATATGCATGGAATGGTTGGATGAAAGCGGCGAACATCTATGACGGAGAGAGTGATTTTTTCTAGGATGTGTTGGTTTGCGATTTTTGTTATATTTGTCCTTTAACGTAATTTCCAATTTCAAGTTAGGGCGATTATAGTAAAACTAGAGCGAGCCGTCCAGATCCTATTTAGCAGAAGGTTGCTCGATCTAAAACAACATTGCATAAATTAAGATAAGCCTAAACTTATGGCAAAGTCATGAAACCAAAACCCTTGAGACATCACATCATGTCATAGTACCGGGGTAAAGGTGTGTGTTTATTATTTTTTGCAAAGGGTTATAGGTATAATATGCCCCTCTACTATGACGTTTTATCAAACATGCCGCTCTATTATTTTTTACATCAAACATACCCATGTACTTCGAAAAAATTATTAAACATGCCCTTCTGTTAAAATTTTCATTTCAAAAATCGTCAATCATGGTTGAATCGAGATTTAGACGACCCGTCATCGGCAAATGAGAGCGAAATGTCAGTTTTGTCTCCCGTTTTATTTCTCTAGGTCTCTTCAAAGGGAAATTATTTGAATTATTTGGCTATACAAAAGAACCAAAAAAAAATTCTAAAGTGGAATTATTAGGGATATTTTAGACATTTGTGCCGCCCAAACCAAAGTTCGACCTTGGTTAACGGTTTTTGGATGAAAATTTAAACAAAAGGGCATGTTTGATCATTTTTACAAAGTACAAGAGCATAATTAATATAAAAAATATTAAAAGGGCATGTTTGATAAAACATCATAGTAGAGGGGCATATTATACCTATAACCCTTTTGCAAATGAGCATCGATCACATTCCTTCCCTGCGAGAAGGAGTAATGTTACCTGAATTTCAAAGATGGGTCGGGCCGGCTGTCCCTTTTTCCTGAAACGTTCGGCAAGAAGGCTGAAACCGGTTAGCGATATTGGCACCTGTTTCTTCAGCCTTGTCTGGCAACGCCACCGGTTCAAGCCTTCTTGCCAAAGATATCAAGAGGAGGAAAGATCCATGTTGCTGGCATCGTCGACTGTCGTTGGTGGAGACGGACGGAGAGCAAAAGGACAAGCATCGTATAATTATTTGTTGTGTTGTTATCTGCCAAGAATCTGCTATATATCATTTATAGACCGATGGAGGGGCAGCAGATTGCTTTATCGAGTGGCGCAGCAATTGCCAGCGCACGTCCTTAATATTGAAGATGGAGTTGAAGCTTCTAGTTCACAGGCCGCCCACTACTTTGTACTGCAATATATAATTAATAAGATTGAGACATTTGCTCTACCTCTCCCTAGACTGTTGTATTTGTACGCTAAACAAGTGGTAGAGTAAAGTCTCTGTCATGCATTACTCCGTCGGCACGTACAGCTATGATGATAAACTGCATGCTGAGTATCGAAACGCACATTCAAACTTTTAGATGATCACACAGAGGATGGAAAGCCATTTGCTAGGGCATATTAAGGCTTCAATTCTATTTTCGAAACTTTACTCTAGATTCAGAGGATTGATGGAACATTGAGCACTTAAAACTTTTATATCTCGTATGAGAATGGGAACTAACTATTTCTCTGGTTGAATTTGCTATGATTTGAAGGTGGATTATTTGCAGTCTACTCAGAAGTTACCGGCGGTTACATTATATTGGCTTATACACATTTGATTTTACTGTTTTGGGTATGGTCTATAACTAACTAGAGATTGCATTATTACCCGAATCCGTGGGTAACCTGCCCAACCCAACCTAGTCAAAGCAGGTAAACCCGTGTTGACGGATTGCAGCCCGAATTTAGGTTAAAACCTGCTTTATTGTTTTACAAATTGGGTTGGGTTCGAGTTTAGCCATATCCAACCAATTCCCACATGTATTCGAACCCAGGCCCCCAGCAGCCAGCACCCACAGATCTCTTAACAAGTTAGGGCTGGGAAACGGTGCGGTCTGGTCCAGACCATATATACGGTTTATGGTCCAGACCGAGAGGCTGAAGTATAGACCACAGACCAGACCACAAACTATACAGTCCGGTCCAGACTACGCCTATGCGGTCTGGTTCAGTCTGGTCTGGTCTAGATATACCACAACAACGAAAAATGAATAATTTGTTTAGTCAACTACACAAAAAATTGAACCAACAACCAAGAAAAATAATTTTTATTTGCCATAAAACATTGATCCTAACATGCATGAATAATTTTGATACCCTAAATCTTAGTACATAACAAAGATACAAAGCAAAAGCATCCAAACTTGCACCATAACGTCATAAACATTAACATAATGTCATATGGAGACACGATTATCTCTACTCTCTAGTTAAATGTGGTTGTGAGTGAAGGAGGGATGAGATTTACAAAACTAAGGTTGAGACTTGAATGTCGTTGTGGGAGTTGGGAGAGTGGTCGAATGGGCTGTTAACATGTATTGACAAGTCGATTGGGTCCATGATTTGGTCTGGTAAACCGTGGTCTAGACCAGACCAGACCAAAAGATCAACACATAAAATAATACAGACCATAGATCAGACCAGACCATACTTAACGGGTTACGGTCCAGACCAAACTATGCGGTACGATTTAGACCGCGGTTTTTCTAATGGTACGGTCTATTTTCCCCGCCCTAAGTTAACCCTAAATCCTACATCAATTGTATTATTTCCCATCCTCTTTTTTTTTATTTTTTTTTTTGCTTCCATTCTCTTGTTGTTGATTGCGTTTTTTCTATAAAAGCATCAACATCAATTCTACTTGTCATGAACCAGTTGCTCCCAATAACTCGAGTTCTTGGGAGAGGTTCAATCGTGGATCATATACCACACACTAACACGCTCCTTCAAACGAAAGCCACTCACAAGGGCTTGAAGTTTGCACAAGTCCGAATACCATGTGCTTAACAAATGGGGTCACCGGGAATCGAACACAAGACCTCTCGGTCACAAAAGGCTCTGATACCATGTAAATATTGTGAAACCCCAAGTTCTATATTGTTGATATGCTGAATATATAATACACCATGGCAACAGACTGCCGAGTTTACAGTAAGCCAATAACAGAAACATGGCTGTAAAATAGGAACTACAGATGGTGGAATGTAACCAGAAAGTTGAATGAGTCAATAGTCCTTATCATGCCCCCACAAGTGAAGCCGAGGAGAGGCAAAACTTGGAACAGATTGCTGAAAAGGGAGTAGCTTTGGAGGCGTCGCATTGAGCACATACCCGTCGCCCCTATTGGCAGTCTTCTCACACTTGAAAGATGATGGCTTTATGCGTACAGCCTGGTAGAACATTTGTGCTCTAGGTATTGCACCGGACAGAGAAAGCTCACGTCCATGGCTGGTTCTCTCTTCTGTGGGTACTCTGTTTTATTTCTCCTCGGTTTTCAATTTCTGGGTAGGGAATCTTTCCAGGCATCGAAGAAAATGTATTAAATGGGGGAAGGAAAGCGGGGTAAAAAGGTAGGGGAGGGAGGAAGAATTGTGATAGATAAGGTAAATCAGTATAGAGAGAAGGAGAGATTGAGCTGAAACGGAAATCTTGCTGGGGAATTACTCTGCCGCAAAAGTGGGTAACGGGGAATATATGAAGCATGGGAAGGAAATAAATCCACTTTTGGGAGGCTTAAAGAGGAAAATATGCCATCGGTCACGGCCAAGCGGATCGCCTGAAAAGGAAGAAAGGGAAGAGAAGCGGTGGATTAGTAGGGAAGGAATGGAGGTTGGGTGGGGGGCACTTGCTTTGGCGATTTGAAAGGAAGAGAGAAGAAGGGAAAGTGGTAGTGGTAATGGTGGCCGGTGGGGCACTTCTAATCATGTGGAAGAATTGGGGAAAGAAGGAAAGTAGGCAATTTTGGAATGGACCGACCAAATTATAGAAAGAAGATTCAGTGGTGTCTGCTGAGTCCAACATTTCAAAAGGAAGAAAAGCGTATGAGGTGCAGAGTGGTTGAAGATTCAGTGGTGTCTGCGGTCGGGAAGAAGGGATGAAACAACGTATGCAGGAATTGAGAGATTAAGGCATGGACGGCGATGAGGTGGACAGAGGTTCGGGAAGAGAAGCGAAGTAGGAGAGGCCGTGGTGCTATGCAATTTGTTGGAGCTACGGCTGGATAGAGAGAGAGGTATGGCTCATTTTCCATAGACGATGGAACAAGAAGCTAATGAGGGGATAAAACATAGCAGTAGTAGTTTGAGGATTGCAAAGGAATCGAGAAAAAAATGAAGAAAATAGCAAAGGGTCTCAAGAGAAGAATGGAGAGCTCGTTTTCTCTGTTTCCATTGACCAGAGAATGTGGAAGCAGAGGACGGAGATAGGAAAAAGAAAAACTAATTTGCCGTTAGATTTTCAAGTTCTCACATAAGAAAAAATGAAAAAAATGGTGTTGTTTATTAACACATGGGTATCATGAATTCACGAGTTTTCAATAGATTGGGTTGTGTTTTAAATTTCAGAATTTGTTGGATTTTTTGTGGATAATACATATCGTATTTTTTGTATGGCTAAATTGCAAGTTGGTCGCTTGAATTACTAGTAAAGTTCACGTTTGCCACTAAAATTAATTTATTCCATCTGTAGTCACTTAAATTAGGTTAACATTCCAAATTTGATCACTGGCAGTTAGTCTCCGTTAATTTTTGTTGATGTGACGGTCAACTCTCATTGTTGACTGTTAAGTGAGTGACGTGGCAATTAAATACCTGAACATGCTTAAGTGAGTGACGCCTATGCACTTCCGTATTTGCACATATTTTCACCCTTGTTTCCTGACCATTTTAGCTCGAAGTTGTTGTTCCTTGGCCTATTTTACGCTAGGTTGTGTTGTTTTGTCGCATTTCAGGTCCTAGCAAGTAAAGAGGTGCATAGGCGCAAGTTTCGGGTCATTTGGAGGTCGAGGTGCGTTTCAAAGAGAGAATTACGGGCAGCCCCTGCAGAATTACGGTCGTAATTGCTCCTGGCATGCCCGTAATTTCAATGCCGAGCCTAATTTCTAGAATTCTTGTCGCAGAGTCAATTACGGGGCAAGAGTCACTTAAATTACGGTCGTAATTCTGTAATTACTGCCGGTAATTGGCAAATTATGACCGTAAATCCTGTCTTCCGAGTCAGGGGAAATGCGCGTTTTGGGCAATTACGGGCAGACCATGATTACGACCGCAATTCTGCCTGTAATTCGCCCAGAATCGGGTTTTTGAGGCAGATTCGAGCCAAAACAGAGAGAGTCGACTTTTCAGAGCAAAGACAGAGCCCTAGAGAGAGAAAGTGCGAAGAACACACCCTAGAAGCGATTTTGGAGCTGGGTTTCATCAAATCGAGCTTGGAGATCATCATAGGAGTGAAAATCATCATCACAGAGCAGATTCTTCCCATCTTGATGAGTATGAATGCTTTGTATTCTGTTTTCCCCTCTCTCTCTCTATGGAGTAGAACCCTTCTCTCACTTGGGTATGAAGTGTTAGAAATATAGGTACTATTTTGTATTTTGTACATATTAATGACGTGAGTAGGAGCTAAGGTTCTCGGTTGGCTAGTATATATGCTTGTGTAGCCGGCCGACCTCTGTAACCGTTCAGTGAATAAGATCCCATCTCTGCCTTGTGCCGTGGACTAGTCTTGACGATCATCGTCAAGGAAACCACGTAAATCTCGTGTCTCTCGATCTCTCGTATTTGTGTTTGTGTTTATTATCATGGTATCAGAGCCTCAGGATTCTTGATCGTGCCTGGGTATCTTCGTGTGATCGTGATTGTGTCTTGCTGCGTCGGTGTGTTCGTGTGCGCCGCTTGGTATTTGGGTGGCTTGTGACTCTCGGTATTGGATTGATTTTCTTGGTTTTGGATTGGTTCTTGTGCGTGCCATTGTCTTGCGCTTGCGTGGGCTGTGCTTCTTGGCTTGGTCTGCTTTTAGCTCTTCGTCCGTCTCCTGTGTGTTGCATCTTGTATTCTCTAGTGAAGATGGACAGCTCAAAGCCTGATGTGGTGACTGTACTGTTTAATGGTAAGAATTTCGCGCTCTGGGAGTTTCAATTCCGGCTTCACATGCAAGGTCGTCGTTTGTTTTCCTTTTTGGATGGAACTGCTCTGCCGCCGGATACGGATGCTGCTCCCAAGGTGCGCAAAGACTGGGCTGCGAACAACGCAGCTGTGATGTCGAGTCTGCTTGGCTCGATGGAACCCGGGATTGCCTTGAGTCTTCGGGGCCTTCCCACGGCTGCTGCAATTTGGAAACACTTGGCGGATCTATACTCTAAAGCAAGTGCCTCTAGGAAATATGATATTGAGTTCGATTTGGCGGCTTTGAAACAGGGAGAGCTTGATGTAAGCTCCTATTATCAGGAGGCCATGACTCTTTGGACCGAGCATGATTTGATTACTAGTTCCTTGGTTTCGGCAGCTGCGTCCACTGAAGTTCTTCAAGAAAGGGCTAGCTCCCGTGTTATGCACTTTCCTATGAATCTCCATGCTGAATTCGAGGGGATTCGGGCATCGCTGTTGCATCGGGGTATTTCTACCATAGAGGCTGTCTTACCTGAGCTACTTCGTGAAGAGACACGCCTGAAGAGTCAAGCCAAGCTTGATATACATGCATCGGATTCTCATTCTGCCTTCGCTGTGAATCCGGGTCGCCCTCAGTTTGCTCGTACTCCCTCCGGGGAGATTATCTGTCATTTTTGCAAAGAGCCGGGTCACATTCAGTTTCACTACAAGAAAAGGAGCACGTGCAACTACTGCAAGCTCGAGGGCCACCTCATTGCGAATTGTCCGACGTTGGCACGTCGAGGACGTCAACGACATGGTGCTGGGCCGTCTCGTCCTCGTGGGGGATACCAGGCTCGTCCCGCGGGCGGGTGCTTATGCTATGACTGCGGCTCCACCATCTCCTGGGCTGTCTGCGGAGGACGTTCGCCGCCTGGTTCAAGATGCATTGAAGGAGGCTTTTGCTGCGGGTATGAAATCTTCCTCTTCTTTTCGTCCTTGGTACTTAGATTCTGCTGCCTACAATCACATGACCAGTGATCGGCAGCAGTTTACACAACTCGTTCCGTCTAGATCTCCTATTACTCTTCAGGCTGCAGATGGATCCTCTATGTCTGTTACAGGAACGGGCTGTGTTGATCGGGCTAATATCTCACTGCCTAATACTTTATTTGTTCCTAAGCTTGTTCCAAATCTAGTCTCCGTTGGTCAGTTAACCGAGGCTGGTTGTAGGGTTCTGTTTGATGAAGCTGGGTGTGTTGTGCAGGACACGAAAACGGGGAGAGAGATAGGCCGGGGGAGTAAGACAGGCCGGGTCTATTTGCTGGATCACATATCGAGGCTGGGAGAAGGGGCGGGTAATGATGGTGGATCGAGCTCTGTCGGATTAGGTGTGCAATCTTTAGTTGGTCATGTTGACAATTGTCATGTCATTTCTTGTTCGGGTTTTTCAGCACAATTGTCGAACTGGGATCTGTGGCATTTTCGATTGGGTCATCCCAATTCTGTGAGACTTCGTACTATGTTTCAAAACCATTGGTTATCAGGATCTTTGTCGGGGAATAATTTACATGAGTGTGTTCATTGTCTACAAGCTAAGATTTCACCAAAGTCATTTACTGCAAGTGATACTGTGTATACTGAGCCCTTCGAGCTGGTTCATACTGACTTATGGGGTCCGTCGCCTGTGACCTCGAGGTTGGGATTTCGATATTTCGCCTTGTTTGTAGATCAGGTAACTCGCTATACATGGGTGTACTTTCTTAGGAAAAAATCGGAGCTCTTGACTATGGCAAGGGAGTTTGTGCAAATGGTGTCAACTCAATTTGGGAAGGTCATAAAGATAATACGCTCCGATCCGGGTGGGGAGTTCTCGTCTCACCAGTTAACTGCACTGTTTAAGGAACGAGGTATTCTTCCACAACAATCGTGTCCGGGAGTGTCTCAGCAGAATGGCTTGGTGGAACGGAAGCATCGTCATGTTTTGGAGCTAACTAGAGCGCTACTAATTCATTCTCAGGTACCGTCGGGTTTCTGGGTTGAGGCCGTGCATACAATTATTTATTTAATAAACAGACAAATTACCTCAACTCTCCAACAACAAAGTCCATATCAGGCTCTCTATTCTCGACTACCTAATTATGGATGGTTGCGCGTTTTTGGCTGTATTTGTTATGTCCTAGTGCCACGCCGTGAGCGAACTAAGCTTACTGCGAAGGCTGTCAAGTGTGTGTTCTTGGGATATAGTGAGAAGCACAAGGGCTATGTTTGTTACGATGAAGCTAAGAAAAGGATCCGGATATCATGTCATGTGAAGTTCCTAGAGCATCTATCTTACTTTGAATCCTCAAGTAATTCACGTGCAGCATCTAACTTGGAGTTCTTGGCGGACAGTTGGCCACTTGATGTTGAGCAGTATACTAATGATCCAGCGGACTCAAGTGATGATGGGAATGGTGGTCCATCGCCAATCTCCAGCACTGCCAACCATTCCACCTCAAGTCTTTCATCGTCCTCCAGCTCTCCGCGGTCTTCGTCATCCGGCTCGTCCAATTCAGCGCCCCATACCTTGCCTTCTCCAAGCACCATGACATCTTCTGGACCCGCCATGTCCCCTGTCCCTTTTGATCTTGAAGATAATGATGGGGAGCAGGTATTGCGCCATTCAACGCGCATCACACGAGGTCAGCCGCCCATACGATACTCGGACTTTATAGCATTTGCCACTCCTACCATTTCCGTTCCTGCTACGTACAAACAAGCACGTGGAATTGAGTGTTGGGAAAAAGCAATGGATATTGAGAAAGATGCTCTAGATGCCATGCATACGTGGGATTTGGTCAAAAGAACACCGGACATGTCAGTTATTGGTTGCAAGTGGGTATATAATATCAAAATGCTTCCTGAAGGAATAGTGGAAAGACATAAAGCAAGGGTGGTTGCACAGGGGTTTCGACAAGAGTATGGGATAGATTATGCAGAGACCTTTGCTCCTGTGGCTAAGATGCAGACAGTTCGGAGTCTCTTGGCTGTTGCTGCGATGAAAAAATGGCCGTTACTTCAGTTGGACGTCAAGAATGCCTTCTTAAATGGTGACTTGAAGGAGACTATCTATATGGAGAGGCCACCTGGTTATACACGAGGCGATAGCTCAATGGTTTGTCGTCTGCGTCGTTCTCTATACGGTCTGAAGCAAGCTCCAAGGGCGTGGTTTGAGAAGTTTCATGCCACAATCTTACAGGCAGGTCTGGTGCAGAGTGAGAATGATCCGTCACTCTTTCTCCGATCTACTAGTAGTGGTCTGACAGTCTTGCTGATATATGTGGATGATATGGTGGTGAGTGGTGATGATAGAGCCAGTATTGATGATCTATTACTTACTCTGCGATCTGCATTCAATCTCAAAGAGCTCGGGGATATATCTTACTTCTTGGGTTTAGAGATTCATCGTTCTCCTGCAGGTATACATGTTGGTCAAAGGAAGTATATAGTTGATTTACTGGAAGAAGCTCAAATGGATGAATGCACAGCATGTAACATACCTATGGAGCAGAATCTCAAGCTGCGGCAGCTTGAAGGGGAGTTGCTGCAGGATGGGTCCTTATATCGGCGCATTGTAGGGAGTCTGATATACTTAACTCATACTCGTCCCGACATCTCATATGCAGTACAGATCGTCAGTCAATTTATGTCAGCTCCCCGCACACCTCACTGGCTAGCTGTTCAACGTATCTTGCGGTATTTACGTGGGACACAGGAAGTTGGTCTGCTGTTTCCTGCAGACGGAGATACTACTCTCGAAGCATACTCAGATGCGGACTACGCAGGCTGTCAGGATACTCGAAGATCTACCTCTGGTTGGTGTGTGAAAATTGGTCGTTCCTTCATATCATTGAGATGTAAAAAGCAAGATCGGGTTTCGAAGTCGTCTACAGAGGCTGAGTATCGATCTATGAGTGAAGTGGCTTCAGAGATTGAGTGGTTGAGGAGACTGTTGGGTGAGTTGGGTGTTCAGTGCCCTTCTCCGATCTGTCTACATGTTGACAATACGAGTGCCATTCGTATTGCAACCAATCCGGTGTTACATGACAGAACCAAACATATTGAAGTGCATATCCATTATGTTCGTCAGCTGGTCACAGAAGGGATAGTCGAGCTTGCCTACATCAGTTCTGAAGATCAACCGGCTGATTTGTTGACCAAAGCGGTTTCTACTACACGTCATTGGTTTCTAGCACACAAATTGATGTTACGTCGGCATCATCAATTTGAGGGAGGGTGTTAGAAATATAGGTACTATTTTGTATTTTGTACATATTAATGACGTGAGTAGGAGCTAGGGTTCTCGGTTGGCTAGTATATATGCTTGTGTAGCCGGCCGACCTCTGTAACCGTTCAGTGAATAAGATCCCATCTCTGCCTTGTGCCGTGGACTAGTCTTGACGATCATCGTCAAGGAAACCACGTAAATCTCGTGTCTCTCGATCTCTCGTATTTGTGTTTGTGTTTATTATCATGAAGAACCCTAGTTCCATGTGTTAGGGATCTTGATTGTAATGACTTGGGATGATTATACTGTTTGGTTTTAATCGAAAGATGCATGTTTCATTGAATTAATTGAAGTATGATCAGCTTTTCTTGATTTCTGCTGCAATCTGAGATAGATAGAATCTGATTAAGTTGTTAGAGCTTCATCATTCGTTAGTAGTAGATTGGCTATACGAGAGTTAGCCAGTTTACTGCTTTGTACTGGAATCCAAATTCCAGTAGTGGAGTTTTGTGCTTATTGGTTTAGCTTTCTATCCCGGTGAAGACTAGTCGTCTGCCGGGTAGTTGGACTGAGAGGGCTTGGTCAGCTTAAGAGATTCCAAGCTACTGTCGGATCTTCCGCAGTTTAATCAACAGTAAATCAGCCCAGGGTAATTACAACTGAGACCTAACTAAGGAGCTAGGGGGACTCATTCCCGAGTGACTCTTCCTTTGCTTCAGAAAACCGAATCAATTCCTGCTTTCTTTCTGCTTTCAGTTAAACCAAAATTAATCGACTTAGTTTGCTAGATAATAGATAATCACGGTGTAGGCAGTAGATCTAGACCCTGGGTTGATATTTAGAACTTGCCACTTTACTGCATTCCCGGACTGCGATTACACTTGGTCGCAGTTTGGTGTTGTGTTTTGGCGTGTCATGCATCCTCAAATGATCTTTTCCCCGAACTGCTGGAAACCTATAAATTAATTAAAAAGGGAACCAAATGTTTCATTAGCATGCTCCAACTCGTCAAAAGAATCAAATATACCATTTTGCACTATCAGTCTTACCACTTTCGTTAACAATAACTCTACGTCTCCGCTCCCCCAACTCATCAAATCCAAACTTCCATCAATGGTGTGGAAAATACCATTAGCATGCTCCAAGAATATTAACTACAAAAAAATCTATAATTAACATGATGATTAATCATTACGAATATGTAGAAAGTAGGGAGTATCAATTATTTACCTCCAAAAACAGCAAGCAACCAGGTATATACTTTTTCCCATCAGCATTATGGTTGCAGATGGGATTTCACTAATTCATTGAAGCAATAGGATGCCCAATTCTTCTTCGAAATGTCCGCAACATCGGTGACAGTGTATACCGAAGATAACGAAATGTCATCTCTTCTATTAGGTACTAATAGCACCCCCATTACGTACAATATAAAAGTTTTAACAAATAGGTCACCGCTCACTTTTATCTTCAACAATGTCTTTCGCATTAAGCTTGTGGAAATCGCCTGTCGATCACAGTCACGAGTCGAATACACTCTAAATTCTTTCAGTTCCTCGGATCTTCCAACCACTTCTTCACCATCCAAGACGATATCCGTCCCTCCCTCGGGGACACCCATAATTCGCTGGAAATCTTTGTCCGAAATATGCACTTTCAGCCCATACGTTGTAACATTCTTCCTTTGACTTCAAGAATCCGACCAAAGCCACATCTCTTAATGGCCTCTAATTGACAAGCCTCTAAATTTGACACTAGGGAGAATACTTTCCTCGGAGAACATCGCGTGCTAAAAAGGTCATGCCTCTTCGTCTTCATTATAGAACAATTTTAACAAACTGCAAAATTAAAAAAACAAAATTATAAAGAAGCAACTTTCACAGTTAAACACATTCTAGAAAACGTGGTTATGACAAAGTTTCATTCTAGAAAAGGATCATTTAATCATTTGGTAAACACATTCTCCAGGTGATGAGTTCAATCCTGGTTTTCAATATATGGCTTCTATCAAAATTGAAAAAATGCAAGACTATACTAGAGCTCACAAGCACACTTGCCTCGGTATCAAGTTCCAACTACCAGAAGAATTGAAAACCCCTACCTCAATACATGGGTACACTAATTAACCATGAAATCCGCCATTGGCATATATAAATTTCACCCAAAGCACCCAGCTTTCATTAAACAGTTCTCCCGGTTCATTCTCAAATTCTCACGGCCGTGACATGCCCCGTGAGAAGTAAAGAGCAGTTTTCATATCCCCAGGAAATCTCACGGCTTTAGCTTCATAAATCACAGCCGTTAAACTAAGTCGTGAAACTAAAAACACCCAGTAGCTCTTCCATACAGCAAAGTACAACTACTACCAAATATGCAGGTCCAAATTGTGTTGATCAAAAGCACAATCAACATGAGGGTAAGTGTCACGAGTAGAAAGCAAAGAGGCACAGACAAACGATCTTGAATAACAATTCACGGGTGAAGTTAAAAGGGCAAGATTTCAGTAACTTGCCTGGAATTGAAGATTAAGATTGCAACTCTATCACAAGAGGAATTGAATTCTGAATCCAACGTGTAGTAGCTGAAAGAGTTACCAGATCAAAGTCCCTACACAAAATACAAAAAGTGAAAGTCAACTCACGTAAACAGCAAAATTATAGATAGGTTACGATTAAGGTGATGCTAATACTGCAGTTCCTTGTGGCAGTACAAAAGCATCCAAGAAGAAAGAAAGGATTCCTACTGTATTAACCATTACGTACTACGAATGGGGCGTTAAGTAATTCAGGCTTGCTTTTTTCCTAGTTCATCTTCCATTATCCGCTAATTGACCTCGAATCCGAGACTCAACACTTCACCTGGACAAATAAACAACAAGGGATTAAGCTGACAAGGGAAATGCTCGACAGGGCACTCTATTCAGCATCTTGGAGAACATAATTTGGGAATTCCTACGATCAATGAAAGAGCATTGAGTCTAAATTTTGTTTGGTCTATGACAACTAGCTAGGGGGATATCAACACCTTCTCTAGTTGAACTTTATCTCATGAAATTGTGTATTAGTCCCTTGCTTTCTTGGTTGCTTAGTAATAATTGAGTTGCATGATGTCAATGAATTGATTGGATAATAGAAGCATAGCTAATTACTAATCAAGCAGCCATTTGACATTACTTATCCTTCCACCAACTGTGCTAAGTCTCAAAGCGATTGTGAACACTAGATAATCAATTATAAAAGAAACCAAAAACTTTCCACAATCAACAAATTAACCCAATACATACAGGATGGTGATTCGTGATTCGATTAGCCACACATTAAACAAAATAAACATCTTGATC